CCAGGCATTTGTTTAGCGACTGTTTGAACTTGCAACGGCATAGAAAAAAAAGTGAATTATGACCGTTTTTCACACTTGCGACCGTTGCAGCATTCCCATGGTCACAGGGTTCAAAATTCGGACGCTTGGAAACTGGCATGTACTTATGACCGTTGCACTGTCCCAGGGTCATGTAAACACCATTTGTAACTTTTCCAACCGGCTACTGGACAAGCAAAGCTAACGGGGGAGGGGCAGCTGAACTCATTTAATGACCCCGTGATTCCCTGAAGGGATTCGCTTAACCACTGTAGCAAAAGCGGGTCATAAAATGAGGGAAAAGCTCACTTTTAACAACTGACTTGCCAAGGAATGGAAATCTGGGCCCTATTGTGATTATCAGTGGGGACTCCATGCTGTAAGCACTGGGCTTTTTCCCTTCAACCGAAAAGAACGAACTTCTGAAGACCAGGTGTTTCCAAAGGAATCCTTTATTGAAAGGGATTTAAACCCAACACTAGGCAAAGCGGAGTCTAAGATATTTCCAGGCATACGGTCATAGATAAAGGGAAGTTAGAACCCCTCCCCTTATTTAGATGTGGATTTAGTCAAGCAAAGAACCAGCGTGTTAATTCTTCCCTCCCCCTTCTCTGGGAGAGCTCTTAGCAGAGTTCCCAGAAGTGTCTTCCAGAGTTGGAAGTTTTATGGTCCCTTCTCATCTTGTTCTCTCTTCAAGAGGTGACAAGTTTCTAGACATCTGGCTCCACTCCTCCAGTTGTATATCGTATGCAAGTTATACAGAATCAATATAGGATTCAGTATATTCAGGTTCCATCCAAAAGAATTACTTGTACCAACTTCCCTCCCCGCTTCTTCCATTGAAGAATGGCAGATACACAGATCTGACAAACTGCAGTTTCAACATTTCCTGGTTTGTTCAGAAGCCATTCCTGTACTGTTTGCTAGCTTAGCCTTTCTCCCAGATAACGGTACACATTTTTGGCCCCCTTGCATGGCACGAAAATGCTTTGCATTTCAACAAACCCGTTAGCGTAGAGAAGCTAATGTTCTCCAAGAATTCACAGATCGTTCTTCTTAATAGCTTGTTCGTGAACATTCTGCCTTTCCCTTTGCAACAATATTGGGAAACATCTCAATTCAGGAAATTATTTATCTGGCTTTGACTGGGATCAGTTTGTCTCAGATTTTAATGAAAGGGTCACAAAAGCAATGACCTTGGCATCGCCCTGTTCAATGCAAGATGTTCAAGGCGGACTCCAACGCGCTTGTGTTTGGCAGGTACAATTTCTGCTTTGGGGGGAAACGAATCATCTCCGATATACAGGTGAAACTCGAAAAATTAGAATATCGTGCAAAAGTTCATTTATTTCCGTAATGCAACTTAAAAGGTGAACCTAATATATGAGATAGACTCATTACATGCAAAGCAAGATAGATCAAGCCGTGATTTGTCATAATTGTGGTGAAGATGATGGCTTACAGAGTTTGCTGGCCAATCGAGCACAGTAATCCCACGTACACTGAACCAGGTTTTGGTGCTTTTGGCAGTGTGGGCAGGTGCCAAGTCCTGCTGGAAAATGAAGGCAGCATCCCCATAAAGCTCAATTGTGGAAGGAAGCATGAAGTGCTCCAAAATGTCCTGGTAGACGGCTGCGTTGACCCTGGACTTAATGAAGCACAGTGGACCAACACCAGCAGATGACATGGCTCCACAAATCAACACAGACTCTGGAAACTTCACGCTGGACTTCAAGCCTCTTGCAGTGTGTGCCTCTCCATTCTTCCCCCAGACTCTGGGTTCTTCGTTTCCAAATGAGATGCAAAAGTTGCTCTCATCAGAAAAGAGGACTTTGGACCACTGAGCAACAGACCAGTTCTGTTTTTCTTTAGCCCAGGTAAGACGCTTCTGACGTTGTTTGTTGTTCAGGAGTGGCTTGACAAGAGGAATACGGCATCTGAAGCCCATGTCCAGGATCCATCTCTGTGTGGTGGCTCTTGATGCACTGACTCCAGCCTCAGTCCATTCCTTGCGAAAGTCCCCAACACTTTTGAATGGGCTTTTCCTGACAATCCTCTCCAGGCTGCAGTCATCCCTGCTGCTTGTGCACCTTTTTCTTCCACACGACTTTCTATTTATGTGCTTTGATATAGCACTTTGGGAACATCCAACTTCTTTTGCAATTACCTTTTGAGGCTTTCCCTCCTTATGGAGGGTGTCAATGATGGTTTTCTGCACAACTGTCAGGTCAGCAGTCTTTCCCATGATTGTGATTCCTACTGAACCAGACTGAGAGACCATTTAAAGGCTCAGAAACCCTTTGCAGGTGTTATGGCTCAATTAGCTAATTAGAGTGGGACACTTTGAGCCTAGAATATTGACCCTTTTCACAATATTCTAATTTTCTGAGATTGTGGATTTGGGGTTTTCATGAGCTGTAAGCCATAATCATCACAATTATGACAGATCACGGCTTGAACTATCTTGCTTTGCATGTAACGAGTCTTATCTCATATATTGGGTTCACCTTTTAATTGGAATTACTGAAATAAATGAACTTTTGCCGGATATTCTAATTTTTCAAGTTTCACCTGTATACTTCCCACATTTAAAGTAATGTGTCCTTATTGGGGCTTTTTGTGTTGTTAGTAACTGCTAGGGGCCTTGTTAAATCCAGAGGTGTATAAACGTAACAAATACAGAAAAATGAAGCAAATACGTAACTACAGTGTTCTGACCAAGGCCTCCAAGACCCTAATTACGCACATGCTTATTTTAAAAACAAGTCTTATTTTATTGCAACGCTGGGAATTATTTTCATTCCCAACCGGTAATGAATCTCAAACAGTCCCTCGAGATAAGCATCCACCTTTCTTTCCTGTAAAGTGCTGCCTATAACAGAAGTGTCAAATGAACTAGAAAGAAAACCCAAAGAGCTTCAAGAATGAATTTGAACCGAATGAATGACTTTGCTTCCTGCAAAGGTTTCGTCATCTTTGCCTGTCCTTTATCCCTTATGGGAGGGGCAATCACCTCCAAGCCTTACTCCCGAGTTGCCCCTTTTGTTTTAGCTGCTCTTGCCTTCTGGCAGCTCTGCGCATGTGCATACTGGGAACAGGCTCCCCTTGTTCCTCTGCCTTGCTGCTGTTAGATTCTGGGGGCTCTGGAGTCAGCACATAACTCCCAGATGGTCCTGGCCCCATCTCTGCATCGGATGCAGGACTTCTGTCTGAGTCCTCTCCAGATTCCCGGACTGACCCCCTTTCTTCCCCAGTGCCTGATTCCACTGCCATCTGCACAGGCTGCCGGCGAACCGCAACATACAGGTGGCCCTTAGAACCATTTGTTTAATGCAGGGGTCTGCAACCTTTGGCTCCGGAGCCACATGTGGCTCTTTTGGCCCTCTGCTGCAGCTCCCTGTCAACTGATCCCACTACTGGTTGGCTCCTCCCCTGCCCATCACTCCTCACCTGGCTTGAGAAGGTAAGGGGGATGGTGGGGGATGGAGACTCACTCCATATTCCAGAGCAGGAAGTGACTGGGTGGGAGTAAGTGACATCAAGTTGGCCACGCCCACCCAGTCACATCGGTTGTTAAGTTATTGGCTCCCAGGGTTGTCTTCTCTGCGGGGAAACGGGGCCAAATGGCTCTTTGAGTGTTTAAGGTTGCAGACCCTTGGTTTAGTGACTGTTTTTGAAGCTACAACGGCACTGAAAAAAATTACTTTTTAAAAAAATTGTTTTTCACACTTACAACCACTGTTATCACCAGGCCAACATTTGGATGCTTGGCAAGTGGCACATATTTGTGATGGTTGAAGTGTGCCGGGTTCGTGTGAACCCCTTTTTGCGACCGCCTGACCTGCAAAGTCAGTGAGGAAAGCCAGTTGGACTTAACCATCTTTTTACTAACTCAACAACTGCAGTAATTCACTTCGCAACGATGGCAAGAAGGATCGTTAAAATGGGGGGCCAAACTCACTTAACATGTGTTTTGCTTAGCAATGGAAATTTTGGGCTCAATTGCAGTCGTAAGTCGATGACTACCTATAATACACAGTAGTGATACGGCATTTTTAAGCCTTTAAAAGCCTTAATGGCACTATTTGGTTCTACAGCCAACACAGTGAGGCAAGCAACCTTCCTGTCGCAAATGTTGAGGGGCGCGAAGTTAGGAGAATTTAAGACACTACTCAAGGAAAGTCCATTTAAATCTTTCTCAAGTCCTAGACCTTCAGATCCTTGCCGGCTACCGAAAGGATTTAGTTTAATGTTTTCTCTGCAAAGATATTTGAGGACGCCCAGCAGAGTTTGCTGGACCCAACTCTCCCATCGGTTCCAAAACTTCCATTAAACATGGATTTGTTTGTTTTTTAATTTCTTTGCTTCGTTCTGTTCTGCCAAAGCATCTTTGTTTATTTTCAGCAATGGAACGGCCAACTTTTCCATCAACTCTTATGAAAGACGAGGAAGGCGGTTGGGGGGAAGAGAGGAAGAGGCAAAAAAGGGACGTGACTTTATATTCTCTCTCTCAATGCACGAGAAGGAGAATGCGAGAGGGTGAGCTCCGTTCTTGCACACAAAACCTGAAGGATCTGGGCCGACACCCCGCTTGGATTACACTGCACCAGTGGTGGGATTCAAAAAAATTTTTACTATCAGTTCTGTGGGCATGGCTTGGTGGGCGTGGCAGGAGAAGGAAACTGTAAAATCTCCATTCTCACCTTACTCCTGGGGGAAGGTTACTACAAAATCCCCATTTCCCCACTAACCTGCTTTCCAGCTCTGTTCTCCTCTTTCAGGGCAACCAAAGAAGACCCAGCCGATCAGCTGGGACTCAATGGGAGGCGGAGAAGAGATGGATTGGCGGGGCCAGTCAGAAGTGGCGTTGGCCGGTTCTCCGAACTACCCAAAATTTCCACTACCGGTTCTCCAGAACCGGTCAGAGCCTGCTGAATACCACCTGTGCACTGCATGCTCCTAAGGAAACCAAACAGACTTGCCTCTTTTTCGGTATCTCTGGATATACACGTCCACTGGTTTTCCTTCACGCTGTACGCCCAGAAGTCCGCCAGATCTTGCGTCCCGTCCCAGCCGCCGAACAAGTAAACGGTTTCTGATCAAAACATTAGGAAATTAAAAAAAAAAAGACATCAGTCTAGGGAGCCTGAAGCCATCAAAAGCTCGGCTGCAAAGACAAAATATTCCCCCCACCCCACCCAGAAATGTAAAACTGTTTGTTTTAAACCGTTTATATTTGTTTGATATTTCTGGTCATTCTTAAATGGGCTTTTTGGTGAATGACGTTTGTAGATTGTGTGAGGCTGGATACAGGCCGGTTGCCAGCGGATTTTGATCTCGTGACCACGGGGGCATGCCGCAATAGCCGTAAGTGTGAAAAACGGTCGTAAGTCACTTCTTTCTGCTGTAATTTCAGTCACTAAATGGATGGTTGTATGTCGAGGAATACCTACACAAGCCACAGAGCTCTGTGAGATGGGTATAATCTCTTTAAGGCCATCCCTAAAGAATGTTTGAACATTGCGGTGCTAAAAGTTTTCATTTTGTTTATTTTTAATGAGACGACCCCCCACCACCACCACCAAAGGATTTGATTCCAGGATTCCTGTCATGCTTTGGTAAGGCCGCACATGGTCGCTATGATGTAAAAAAGATGTTGAGACTCTAGAAAGGGCAGAGAAGAGCAACAGAGATCATCAGGGAGGCTAAACCATACGACGAACGGGTGCAGGAATTGGGTATGTCTAGTCTAATGAAAAGAAGAACTAGGGGTGAGATGATAGCAGAATTCCAATATTTGAGGGGCTGCCACACAGAAGAGGGAGTCACGCTATTCTCCAAAACACCCGAAGGCAGGAGAAGAAGCAATGGGTGGAAACTCATCAAGGAGAGAAGCAACTTAGAACTAAGGAGAACCTTCCTGACGGTTAGAACAATTAACCAGTGGAACAACCTGCCTCCAGAAGTTGTAAACGCTCCAACAACTGGAGGTTTTTAATAAGAGACTGGACAGCCATTTGTCTGAAATGGTATACAGCTTCCTGGCTGAGCAGGGGGTTGGACTAGAAGACCTCCAAGATCCCTTCCAACTCTGTTATTCTGTTTCTTTTAGCAAAGAATGAAGCAACGTCCTTCCCAAATTACTGCTGGATTAAGTGTCAGAGGGAGGAATGATAAAAAGAGAGAGAGAGAGAGAGAGGGAGGGAGGGAGAGGAAGAGAGAGAACACCGCAAGACGAAGAGATAATTAAGGAGATATTAGATTGTGCAGACTGACATTGAAAATCGAACAGAGAGAAGACACAGAATATTCTCAAACATGGAACTCATTTTACCAGTGGTTGGGGAAAAAAAGGGTGGAGATTAAGAATAGTATCTGTATTGTTCAGCGAATTAAATATCCAGACAAGACGATGTTTATTAAGCACTAAGAAATGTAATAGAAAATTAATAAAATTTAATCAAGAGAGAGAGGGAGAGGGACGGAGAGAGAGGGAGAGGGTGAGGAGGAGAGAGAGATCTGAGATCTGAGACTCTGCTTGCAACAGCTGTAATGGCCACTGTCAGCATCAGCACCAAAAGGTTACCTTAGGTCATTAACTGTAATTACACTGTTTATTCTGGGCACCGAGTAGCCAGTGTTCTTTGCAAAGAGTACATCTCTTTGTGTGCCTAAATTTTCACAGCTTACAAAAAACTCACAATCGCGACAATGGGCCGATTGATAACCCAGGGGAGGAGAAAACGGGTTTGGCACATGCCGCATATCCAGTGGGGACTGAGATAAAACATCTTGCAAAGTCTACACCATTCACAAACAGGAATTTGATCCGATGGGAGCTGGGAGAAGGAAAATCGCCCAGAATAAAAAGACAGAAATGTATTCCTTCCTAATATAAACGGAGTTTTTCGAGGGCATAAGTAGAAGAAAGACAGGCATGTCTGTTATTCACCTTATTGTGAAATTATACTCCTAAAAAACTCGGCTACCCTTCACCTTCCTAAATGCAGAATTTGTAAAACTCCCAATTTTTTCAATCTCCGGATTTGATGGAGAGGCTGTTCTCTGGAAGTGACAGTGCTATAAATATCAAAAAGTTATTTTTGGTGCCTAGTCAAACTTAAAAAATCGTGGAACAAAAGCCCCCTGTTAAGAAAAGTATTATTTTAAATGCCTGTTTAAATGCCTCTTCCCTTGCCATATGCATTCATATTCTCGAAATCTACATTTTAAAGGTCAGGACATGCATCTCAAAAGATCCACCCCTATGTACACTCAGGAAAATTTGGTTTTTATGTTCCAGTTTCTAAGGTTTGCTACCCAACTGTTTTTATGAGAAAGAACTTCTTGTTCTTTGAACACGAAAGCCTTGGTTTTGCTTTCACGTTGCTTCTCTCTATTCTTCTGAGCCAATGAACAGGCAGTCCTCAACTTATGACTGCAACTGAGCCCAAATTCTCTCATTAAGCAAGACAATTGTTAAGTGAAACAATTGTTAAGCCAGTTTTTGCGGCTTTTTTTGCCACGTTTGTTAAGTGAATCACTACAGTTGTTATATTATTAACACAGTTGTCGAGTGAATCTGGTTTCCCCATTGACATGATATGGAATGGAATGGAATGGAATGGAATGGAATGGAATGGAATGGAATAGAATAGAATAGAATAGAATAGAATAGAATAGAATAGAATTACAGAGTAGAGTAGAGTCGTGTAGAGTAAAATAGAATAACTAGAGTAGAACAGAACAGAACAGTGGTGGCTAACCTTTTTGGGCTCCTATGCCAAAAATTGTGCATGCACTCGTGTGCCAGCATGCACAATGCAATGTATGCCCCCCCCTCCCCATTCCCACCTGCGCATGCGTGTGCAATCTCCCCTGGCACTCCACAGCTGATTTCTCAGCTGGTTTGAGGCCTTTTTTGCGGCCTCCCAGAGGCTTGGAAAAAGCCCCTGCAAGGCTTTTCAGGACGAATTATAGGGCCATTTTGTCACTTCGGGTATTACAGGAAGTGATGAAACAGACCTATTATTCGGCCTGAAAAGCCTTGCAGAGATTTTTTCCAAGCCTCTGGGAGGCCGAAAAAAGGCCTCAAACCAACTGAAAAAAAAATCAGCTATGAGGTGCGCTCATACGCAGTGAGGTAAGTTTGCATGCAGCTCGTGTGCCAGCACAAATGGCTGTGCATGTCACTTGTGGCACACGTGCCATAGGTTCGCCATCATGGGAATAGAAGAATAGAATGGAATGGAATGGAATAGAATATAGAATATAGAATAGGATAAAATAGAAGAATAGAATAGAATATAGAAAAGAATAGAATGGAATGGAATGGAATAGAATGGGAATAGAATAGAATGGGAATAGAATGGGAATAGAATAGAATAGAATAGAATAGAATAGAATAGAATAGAATAGAATAGAATAGAATAGAATAGAATAGAATGTAGAATGTAGAATGTAGAGTAGCGTAGTGTAGCAAAGCATAGAATAAAGAATAGAAATAGAAAAGCATAGCATAGCATAGAATAGAATGGAGAATAGAGAATAGAATATTTAGGACAGAACAGAAACAGAAACAGAACAGTTGGAAGGGACCTTGGAGATCTTCTTGTCAAAGTGAAACAAATGACCAGATGGGCCAACTTTAAAAGTGTGCATTTAAAGTCCATCCAGAGAAATGGACTATGACTACTATCTGACAAAAAAAAAAATAGAATTTCACTGACAACCAGGTGTAATGTCATCTTTAACACAGGGAATCCTCGGCTTACGACCATAATTGAGCCCTAAATTCCCATTGCCAAACAAGTGAAACTCACTTGTGAAGTGAGTTTTGTCCCATTTCACGGCTTTTTCTTGCCACATTTGTTAAGTGAATCACTGCAGTTGCTAAGTTAGCAACGTGGTCATTAAGTGAATCCAGCTTCCCCACTGACTTTTGCTTGTTAGGAGGGTCACAAAAGAGGATCACATGACCCCGGGACACAGCAACTGTCATAAATATGAACCAGTTGCCAAGCATCACGTGACCATGGGGATGCCACAATGGTCGTAAGTGTGAAAAATGACCGTAAGTCACTGTTTTTCACTGTAACTTTGTACGGTCACTAAATGAACTGTTGTATGTCGAGGGCTACCTATATTTCCTATCACATTCCTCCATGTTGGAATTGTATTATTTCAGGATTCAAGTAAACTCTCAGATCCTTTCGCACTTTCCATCCACTAGGAGGTGCTTTCGATCTGCATCAGCGCTTACTGAAACGACACTGATGGGGTAGAATAATTTAATCCCTCTTATGCCATCATCACTGGAACACGTAAAGTTAATTGGAGGTAGAAAGGAGAAATAAATATTTGGGGGCAATTTTTTAGCCAAACAGAAATGGGTCTTGCTTTAATTAAAGCCAAGTGACATTTTCTGTTTCAAATGTAAATGCTTGAGCATTATGGATACACTGAAAATGATACGACAGAGGTCAGAAGTAACAGTTTAGGAAGTTTTTTTTAAAAAATATGACTTGTTTACATTTTCAAGGTGGCTCACAAGAAGCGGTGATCCGAATGAACATAATAAACTGGAGAAAAAAAATAAAAAATTCAAGATAAAATATGTGGGGCATTTTAACAAATACCAAAATTCAAAGGAAGAAAGGGAAAAGAGATTAGAACTGGACAAATGGTTCTAAGATATCAAAAGTGCCAGAATTCAATTCTAATAGCAATCTGCTTACAAAAGGACCGGTTAAATACACTTTTAAGTGTTTAAAAAGTTACTATGGCTAAAGGCCAACGAAAACAACCATAACGAAAATCGAACCCGAGCCTTGACAGGGTTGTAATTTCGAATTGTCACTAACTGAACGGTTGTAAGTCAAGGGATAGTTGTAGCTCTTGATTTATAACATTCACTGAATTAAGAGCACTGAGAAAAGTGACTTACAATCCATCCTTTCCCGTATGGCCTCTGCAACATCTTCATCGTTATGTGATCGGATTTGGGGTGTTACGCAACCAGCAGGAATTAATGACGGTTGCAAGCGTGCTGGGATCATGTGATCATCATTTGTGTTCTTCCTAGCCGACTTCCCATAAGCAAAGTCAAGGGAGAAAGCTGGATTCTGTTAAACAATGACTGGGTTAACAACGGCCGTCATTCGTCTAAAATTGGGCACAACTTACTTACCAAACTGCCTTGGTTAGCAACGGAAATGCATGTCCCATTTGTGATCAAAAGTCAAGAACAAAGCTCATCTGTTTCTTAGCCGTGGGAGCCAGCATTGTCCAAAGACGCTTTCCGTGGTCATGTGGCCAGCATGACAACATGCCAAGGTGCATAGAGCACTGTTTCTTCCCTATTGTAGTGGTACCTATTTATCTATTCACATTTGCTTGCTTTTGAACTGCTAGGTGGACAGGAGCTGAGGCAAGGATGGGAACTCACCCCCTTGTGTAGCACTCGGGACTCAAAACCTGGGCAGTCAGCTTCCCAGCTGCCAAACTCAGCATCTTTTAAGTGCTGAGCCATCACACCCCCTTAAGTGAAGAACTGCCTGTAGTTAGATCTGCTTTTGACTCATGATTATGCAATATTTCTTTAAAACAAAACCATAGCTATTTTGAGCCGTGGCGGTGCAGGCGAATTCTGCTGACTGTCGGCCGCCTGCACTTTTGGCAGTTCGAATCTCACCAGGCTCAAGGTTGACTCAGCCTTCCATCCGAGGTGGGTCAAATGAGGACCCAGATTGTCGGGGGCAAGAGGCTGATTCTGTAAACCGCTTAGAGAGGGCTGTAAAAGTACTGCGAAGCGGTATATAAATCTAAGGGCTATTGCTACTGTTGTACTGGGGAAAGGGAACATCCAAAATCCGAGATTCCCACTCTTTACAAAGTCTGCGCTATTATCACTATTAATCTTCTCATCACTCCTTATCACCCATTCCCTCCCACTTGTGACTGTAGGACTGTAACTTCGTCGCTTGTATCCTTACGATTTATATTGACTGTTTCCTAGTATGATTTGGTTGTTTATTGTACCCTATGGCTCTTATTAATTGTATCTTATGATTCTTGATGAATGTATCTTTTCTTTTAGGTACACTGAGAGCATTTGCACCAAGACAAATTCCTTGTGTGTCCAATCACACTTGGCCAATAAAGGATTCTTTCTTTCTTTCTTTCTTTCTTTCTTTCTTTCTTTCTTTCTTTCTTTCTTTTTCTTTTCTTTCTTTCTTTCTCCTTCCTTCCTTCCTTCCTTCCCTTCCATCCATCCATCCATCTATCTATACCATCTCTCTCTCTCTCTCTCTCTCTCTCTCTCTCTCTCTCTCTCTCTCT